CTGTTGTGTCATGGTTCGAGTCCTGCTGAGCACTGATGCATCGCGAAGCCCAGGACGGCACACCGAGAAGCACGTATTCGCATGAATCTGCAGTCACAACTTCGGGCAAAAATGCTCTTTCAGCCTACGCTGAGGCCAAGTTCTGCGTCCCTTTCGTTCGCTTCTACAAACGAACTGAAAGTTGGCCCAGAAACGATGCCAATTCGTCTTGTTTTGGTTATTTGCACAATTCCACGCAATCCGATGAGTAGGCCTCAGGAGACCAGTAAACAATGCTTGGACTCATTTTCACCATTTGATCTCGTTGTCAAGGCGACCCAGTTGGACACACCTTGTCCCAGGCTGTCTGCTGCAATAGTTATGATAATTTCCAGCATCGGACCGTCAATTTGGTACATCAACAGACAATGTAGTTCACTGGCAATGTAGCAGTCTGCATTTGAATTGACGCTATTTTATTTTAAGGCGATGAAAGGAGTTGCAATTGAATTTTCCCAAAGTATCTACCGATAGTCTCGAAAGGCTGTTTATGAAAGAAAAAATGATAGTCGTCTCTTTGACGAGTTGTAGCTTTGTGCTGAGAATGGCAAGGCTCACTGACGATACCAACTGCGATGCTGACGAAATGTCTGCGAATGTACCAATTCAACGGTCCGTTGCTGGAAATCATCCTACACACTCGAGGGCAGAGGACGCAAGACCAGGTACCTTCCACAAGATCAACCTGTCCATCTAAAAAAGTTGCGAAAACGAGGTAAAACCTATACTTTACGTCTAGAAGAGACTGCGACCAAACCCAAAGCCACACCAATTTAGTTTTCATATGTACAATCTAAATAATTTTGCATTCGAATATGTCCACTTTGTTAAGCATAGAAGGAAGAAATAATTCTATATCTATTTGTACCGATCTGCGTTTTATATTCCTTATTGATGGTGAATGTACATAACGTGTAGTTCAGAGCCAGTTAATCTTTTGTATATTTTCAGCTCATTTTTATTTATGACTATATATGCCATGTACATTAGAACCGGTTAGTTTTCTCGGCTTAAGGACTGGCAATCTCGGATTTACAAAGTGTACTTTAGGAGTGCTCTGACCACTTGGTCGTGGTATCGTTTTCTTGTGATGACTACGACAGCGGAGGACTTCGAACAAGATTTGTCCAACTGGGCCGCCCTGACACCACGAACAAGTTACTTCTGTACCTCGAAGGGAGACTGCGACTAAAAGAGAGGCCACAACATTTTGGTTTTTCTATCTTGCTTGGAGTTGCTTCGCAAGAGGACAGGACTGAACTGCAATCTCGACCTCGCCTAAACTCGTCTCATCATCGTCTTCAACGCAAGTCTAAAACCAGTCACGACACAAGTTTGGTGAAGAGATTGGAAGGTCAGTTCAACCAGAAGACGACGGCCGATTCCTCTTGACCAGTTGTCGATTGGCTTGACTGGAACATTCTTGTTGACGCTGTTTCCGAGGCAATCTCCTTCGAGTCCGGTTCGTTCGTCATGTATCATCGTCACAACCAACTTGAAGCAAACGAGTCAAGAAAACTCACCGGCAAATGGCTGAAAAGTGGTACACACACTCCATATCTGATTATGAAACAAGAGATTCGTGGAAACCCAACTTTTTTTCGCATATACAAGTTACTATTCGACAAAACACACCCGCGGATGCCATTTGTTCGCGGGTCTGAGGCGACATTTAAGGCTTCTCCGTAATCACATTTATCTGGTGAGTTTGCCGATTGAGCAAACATGTATTTGCTATAACAATCGACGATTTTGTTTCGGCTTCAAGACCCCCAACATTATGCTTATGAACTGAGGTTGCCTGCATTTTTCCCATTACTTGGCATCACTTTTACATTTTAGACTGTCAATTCGTCTGCCTCGTCGACAGGACGCACACTCGACGCAGCACTGTTAGACAGACCTACCAAGATCGGTCCAAAAGGTGAGCAAATGTTGCCTTATTCGGTGGATGATGAATGTAAAGTGGATAAGCGAAGCGCTTGAGCACAAGCAGGTTCTCGACCTGGTTGAATGCTTGTTGACCGATACGGGTCTGTTGAATGCGAAGTGTGGCTGGGATTTGACGAATCTCTTGAGATAACATTTTTGTGAAAGCTCTCGTTTCACATGAAAGTGTGTCCGATGGTTGATTGTACCAGATAACGATGGACAACTCCTGTTGCTCCGTAGCCCTTTGGCGTCACAAGACATGCTGATCTTTTGTCCAGCGTCTGACGGACATTGGCCGAACTGGGAGACGTTTTTGCATCAGTTTCAAGCCAACACTAAGTCGAGAAAAGAGGCCAAATGGGTCAGTATGTCCGTCGATCAACGGGAATCGGTCGTCGTCTTTCAATGAGACCAACCGACACAACTTTTCATCATGCACCTTAAAACGAAAGTAAAGTCTCCACAACAATCAGCAGACTCCGAGTCGGAGTCGAACTTGCCGGACTCTGATACGGAGGCATTGGCGAGGGTTGCGCACACACACGGAATCGTGTGATCTGGCCTACATACACACGAAAATAGGCCCAACGTGAGCCAAAGCTTGGCTGTGAATTGTTGTTTCGGGCTCCATTGGACAAACTGAAAGAGTGAATTAATCGAGCTTTCGTGTGAGCTCAAAATTAAGTCGCTTCTACTCACTTACACAGTTTGCAGTTTCCACGTGCCTCTCGGCCAAGATTGGTACCCAAAGATTGTTTGGTCTTGAGTTGGTATTATTGCTTTTGCCGGATCACATTCTATTTGAACACAAGCACATGCATTTATCAACTAGACTGCACACTTGATCGTCCTATTTAACAGA